AAATAAATGACATTCACATTCACATTCACATTCACATACAATAGATCTAGGTAACACATACCTAATTACTAATCGGTAGTCAGTAACTCTAAATACTTATAAGTATTTAACTATCTATTCAAGTTAACTACAATTTGTTATCCTATGCAATCAATATGAAGCCACACTCACAAAATCTAAACCTACTTAGAGGAAAAAAAAAACAAAACACGATTTAGGACAAAAGAGGTTTTAATGCCCATCGCTTTTTTACTGCTGGCAACAAAACGGATCAAAAGACGACCCAGCATAACGACACACATTATTGTAATCGACCTAAATAGAGATTTTTGACTTGTTTCCTCAACACTGAAGAAAGTAGCACAGGTTGATGGCAGAGATTTGTTAATTAATTAAGGGACAAAATAGGTGGCGTCACGCGACGCACTTAGTGATTCCGGGTACTTAGTTACCGTGTCCCACATTTTGGATTCTTTGGTCCCTACTTAAGGGTAGATAGACCATATAGATTGCTATTGCCCTCTATAAGGGCATGCAAAGTTGTAATTATGTGGATGGTGTGTCTAAACAGCCTAGTGTTAAGGGAGCTTATGTTGTGTATAGGTACTGTAATTTCTCAATTTTCCTGCCATGATACTACCAGAAATATTTTGACCAACACAACGTAATAGTGAAATTCATCTCGCAGTTGGGAATTGGAAAATCATCTTCTATAATTTCCAAGAAAATTAAACACCGATATTTGCCGCGACCTGCGTGCGACTCTTACTGTCGTAAAACATGGATGTTTTCAGCAGTGTAATGACCTAATAACGTAAAAATTACTTATAAGTATGTTATTTAGTAAATGACATGGTAGTCGTGTAAAAATGTAATTTCAGTTAAATAACATAATTACAGATAGAATGTTTGTGCACGTCAACGTTACATGTATTGACGTGCATCATTATTTACTGCCTAACTACTTAGTTATGGGGTTGCCACGCAATTTTAGGCCTTATGGTATTGACATAGAGAAAATTGGCTTAGAAAACTACATAATGTCATTTAAAATGAAGTAATTTAGTTTTTTTTTTTATGGCATAAGCCGGTAAACGAGCAGACGGATCACCTGATGGAAAGCAATCGGCGTCGCCCATGGACACCTGGAACACCAGAGGCGTTACAAGTGCGTTACCGGCTATTTGTGGATTAGGAGTTTGAGGATTGTTGGGGATTCAGGGATTGGGGAGATTGGGGAAGGGGAGGGAAATTGGGCCTCCGGTAACCTCACTCACGCGACGAAACACAATGCAAGCGTTGCTTCACGTCGGTTTTCTGTGAGGCCGTGGTATCACTCCGGTCGAGCCGGCCCATTCGTGCCGAAGCATGGCTCTCCCACACCTAACACCTAGTGCTTGCGGTATTTGTCTTTACTTTACTACTAAAAAGCTTTTGAGGATAGTAAGGATAGTATAGGATATATGAGGATAATTATCAATTTATTATAAAGGAATGTCTGTACCAGGTGCAAAAAAAAGGTTTAAAGTTTTGCGGTACAATTCTGAGAACAAATATTTTTGTTCTGCATCTCGACTCTGCGGCTAAATCTCAAATACTTTTAAAAATGTATCCGTCTACTGTCGATAAGGCACAATACTCAAGAATGCAATAAATAAGTTTTGAAAAATCATAAACGACCTAAAATATTGCTATATAACAGAAGTTAGTAGTTGGTATAATTATTTGTGGATAGATAAAACCGTACATAAGTTAAAGGGCGTACAAAAAACAACACCTAAAACAGGTTATTTTCCGGGTAACACGGTAGCACGAATTCAAAAACAACGCACAAATCAATAAGTTCACCTCGACAGGAAAACAAATGTTTTTATTTGTGTCGATACCGATCCCCGATACCTAGAAATACGAAAAGTAATTCCAATAAAAATTGCCAACTTATTGGATCTTTTCACATAATGGGGCGCTATTAATCCCTGGTCATTGCGGCCACCAACAATATTAACCTAATTGTAAAAATATTTGCATTGTTTTATGGGTTTCTTATGGCCAATCGATGTACGTCATCATTGGGAACTAGGGGTGTACCTGTTGACCTGACACAGAAAAAGGCAGTAAATTATTGCTGTCTTACTGATTTACGTATTGCACTTCAGAAATTAAGGAACGTTGGACTCGTTGGTCCACTTTCATGATGTATTGCCGTTTCTGGGACTTTTGTTGTCAATAATGTATCTGTTACTATCACACACTGTATGGAACACTACGTCCCTATGTCAGTGTACCTGTCAAAATAGTTGAACTTGAAAAGCTAAAACCACCGCACACGCACGTCTACGCACTACATTTTCAGAGAGATTTTTAATAAAGAACTAAGTAATACATGCCTCTCAGTTTACATTTATTCGATAAAAGCCGGGTACGTTGTAGATAATACAGTCATTCTATACCCGAACATAAAAGCAATGATTGTCTTAATTTGAGCCAAATTGTTCAACTTGAAAGCAACTTACTTTATGTCCTTTACAAACACAGGTATAGGTATGTAAATAAACAGAGTCCCACAGAAGCGTTTAGAAGCTAACTTAGATAAGTTAAGGGAGTGAATAATAGACGGCAGATTGCTTAACAAAGTCTTTATTGTTGGTCGTAAAGTCGGGGGCATCCTCGGTTAAAACAAACTTTGCGCTCACCGCAAGCTACGGACAAAAAGCGACGGTACTCCACTATTTATGTAAGATACTACTGTTTGGTTTCGAATCGGGAACTTCTATTCAGAAACTTGGAAATGGAAAGTGATGTCAATATTGGTACTACCCCTAACACTTTAAGATCTTTACTTATAAAATGTGTAAGTGGCTAGTAAAAGTAAATAATATACATACATATTTTATAACTTAGTCAACCCAAAAAGATTTGACTGTCACAGACAACCTGACAGGTAGACACTGTCTCCTCACATAAATTTGAATATCAACCTCGCATCCGGATCCCTAAAAAATATACAAAGAGACTCAAAAGAGGGAGTCTCCGAGTATACAAAGGAATCGTTTAACCACCATTGTCAAACCACAAGTGTGGTTTTAATTAAAAGTAGGCAAAAAAGGTGGATGTTTGACGAAGAAAATAAAGTTGGTTTAGGATTAATGAGGGTGCTTAAAAATGTAGATGACAAACTTCATATTCCAGACTCGTTTGCTTAGTAATAACAGCTGGGTGTCCCGGTGACTTATTGTTGACACAAACCTGGCATTTATCACGAGGACTTGTACCAACCAACTACGTAATTGTCTGCTACTTCAATTATTATCACATCAGCAACAATACGAACATCTGTGGTTGGTGCCGAGCCATCATTTCCTGCTGAAGGACTAGCGGCCGCCCGTGTGGGGTACTGATTGTGAGTTAAATATTCACCGCATTTGCCAGATTGATTGAGGATGCGAGCCTTGTCGGCTCAATACCGAATCAATCATCTTTGCAATCGATACAGAATAAATATCTGTATGTCATAACCCCTGGTATATGTGTGTGTATAAAGACTCGTTTTCGCATCCTACTTTCTTTGTGTAAATTTCTGTTTTTACTGTTCGGTTAAGAATATTGGGAATGCCTTTCTAAGTGGCCAAGCAACCAAGCCTGTCTAAGAAATTCTCAAGTGCAGGTACAACAACAACTGCCTTAATTTTGCAATTGTTCAATGTGTCAGTCGAATAGGCGGCTTTTATATAAATTTTATATAAATAAACAAAAGGATAATAAATTGAAAGTTCTAAAAATAGTCTGTGTACGACGGTACGTCCCATCCACTCGTAATCTCCCTTTTAAGCTACTCTCGGAAAGGGCTCGCATATTCTCACACCAAATAATTACAATGACATGTCCGAGTTTGCAGGACAAGTTTAAGAGATAAAAATAACTGTGTCCGTCCGGCAGGGGGCGCTAATGGAGGTTTAATATCAGCTGTACTTTGGGGTTTCGCAATTCTGAAAGTAAAAGGAATCCTTAATGCGCTAAGTACGTTGAAAATCCGTTTAGCCGTCTCGAGTTCACGTGAATATTATGACATACATACTTACATCACATAGAGACAATTTTATGTATGTGGGTTACTCATGTATGTGTCCTGTAAATATGTCTACATTTCCGTCATTATTCACGTCATTTAGGGGATTTACCATTTGTTTATTTTGTGTTTTACCTTATGTCGGTCACCAAAAATAGCTTGATTTACGCAAAGCTGAATGAATATTTTATCGATGGCTTCCTCGTTGAATGGATATCTGTGTACTATAATTTAGTTCTAAATAGTCTACTTTAATACCTATTGTTAAATACTAGCCCTACTAAGGTTACTTGAGTACCTACCTACCGACATTCATATATGTACTAACAATGGAAAGCTCAATTACTAAACTCGTATTGATTATCTAGATTATAACAATAGCACTATATCCCTTTGAAAGATCATATTTATACCTATATATTATAGCTTTGTAAATCATATTTGACTCATTAAACGTAGTAACGAATATTTAAATAAAGTTAGGTAGTATTAAGCAATTATCCGGAAAATTCGTCTGTAGGAGTTTACTCCGCAGACATATTTATTTATAAACAGGTTACATGTGACATGTCTGCACAAATTAATTTTTATTGTCTATTACTATTTTTGTCATCTAGTACTAATACATGTCGCGGAGAACCTAACGGGTAACCGGGGTTCCGGCTCGACGTGCAGGAGAAGGAACGGGGTGGTTTTTAGTCAGTAAGAGTCTGACACTCCCTCCCGCCTCACCCAGGCGGGAGCAGTCATTCGATGATATTCCCCCCTTAAAAAAAAATAAAAAAATACCCGTTTTAACATAAGTAAGTTGATCTATGTGACTGTGTGTGTGTATTTCCTTACTTACTTAATCCCTTTAAGTATAAAATTGAAATCTCTCTCTAGTTCCCTTTTAATTACTAAATACTTATGTTGCATGTTTATTTCGTTTCAGAGGAATTACCTGGAGACGTTTGGGTATCTGAAGAAGGGTCGGCCGGAGGTCGGTAACCTGCAACTCATGAACCACGAACAAGAGTACGAAGACGAGTTCAGGATCGCCATCAAGACGTTACAAGTAAGAAGTAATCTTTTTTTAACCAGGCTGCTCAGACTAAAAGTACTAAGTCTTCTTATCACCAGTTCTGATACCATTTTCTGATACCAAGAGTCCACACCACACCGTACCACAAACTGGTCTATCACAGAGAGATTGTAATAATGTTATTCAATACTCGAGATGTTTATTATTATATCACAAAAAGTATCTACCGTTAAATTCAAAGTCAAGTGAAACTCTCAAAAATCAGTCATAGTCAAAATACGATGTTTCTTTGTTAGCATTCAATCTCTCGGGCAATTTCTATGGCTACAGCTTATTAACTGTTTCATGGGCTGATACATAGTTATAATTACTTTTTAATTGCCAAAATGAAATCTCCTATTATATTTACTCAAACTTGAATATTTACAGGAATTCGGCGCTATACCAGTGACGGGTGAGATCGACAAGGCGACGTTGGCACTGATGAAACAGAAGCGATGCGGTCGACCTGACAGAGAAGAGGACGACGACGAGCACAGGAGAAAAAAACGGTTTGCAGTCCAGGGAGAGAAGTGGAAGTACACCAACTTGACTTGGAGGTAGGAATATTAAATATGTAAAAATATGAAACTAAGAAATATTATGCTCTATTTCAAGCAGCGTCAAAAATAGAATTAATTTTAATGTACTAAACTATCAAACAACGCCATCTACGAAATGTATTAAATTTTTAATCAGCGCCATCTTGTATCGAATAGCAAACATAAACCACAAGCGCCATCTAATATTGGTTTCTAATACTAACTTAAGAAGTACGTCATTAAAGTTTGTATTTAACTTGCACTACTCGACACTAGATGGCACTACAAATAAAATTTATGAAAAATATTGTAGAATAATGTTTTTTTTCAAGTAATGTTTACTAATGATTTGTATTCTCATTTCATTCTTAGTAAAAGTGTGCTAGATAAACTTGTTATATATTTTGTACCATTCGTTACAGCTATGATTTAATTACATTTACGCGTGCAAATTACGAGCAATAACTAAACCTATTAGAAAAAAGATAAGGTGAGACCCTAAATGTCCCATTTTATGTCGAACAGTTCCAAATGTACTATTTGCTTTAAGACCACATAAAATTGATGACAAATAATAGTTAAATCACGGACCTCGTAAAAGTTACGACGCTTTCCGCGTGGCTTAATTAAAAGAATATGTCCTTTTGACGCCTGCCGACGGCGGATATTTGGAGCTTCGAATAAACTGAAAGAGCTCTTATCGTCATCTAACATAACTCCGATTACGACATATTCTTACTGGTGTAATGTAGGTGACATGACATTAAGGGGTGTACGGACTTGAACATGTGGAATCGTAATTATACTTACTTATGTAAGGTACATAGGTACATCAATGTTGTATTGTATGTATGCTGCATGTAGTTAATTGTACTATTGTAGTCAGGTCGATTATGTGGGGAGTTTTAGTTTAGTGTTAGCTATCCCCTCTAATTTTCATACATCTTATATTGATAACAAGTTAATTAATTGGTACCTAGTCTATACATATAATCAACGTCACACTAAAAAATGAATTTATTAATATTTTTAACCACGCTTATATGTCTCTTCTTGTGATAGGCAGAGTACTTACATAGCTACAGTTATCAACTTTTCCTAATCCGCATTTGAACGAGAGGGCTAATTTCTAGGAGTTGAAATATGTAATTAGGTTTCAGGACTTCGTAGATACCTACTGAACAATTTGTTTATGTATGTAAATAGAAGTAAATTTATTGTAAGTAGATATTATGTAGGCATAATACTTACAATTAATTTAAAAATGATAGTATTACGAAAATACTGAAGATTTTTTTTTTTCAAAAATCCCATTCGGTTTTTGAGTTAATTCTGATTGAGTATTGTTTTTAATATTTTTAGAAGTCCTCGCTCCAATTTGACGCCGTACTCTTGATAAGCTAGTTTTCATTGAGTCGGTTGTTGAATTGCAAGTAAGTTAAAGTAATGATATTCTTGCCTTGCTCTATTGAACATTACTGCCAATTGTGTTTCAAGAGCTCACCTGATCCAATGCTGGCTATGCATTTTCCATATGGTCCATTTGGACCAAGCCGTTGGCCACATGCCCGTCAGCTTTACATTGAAACGTGCCACGATACGTGTGTACACAATTTACATACTGATTAAATGAATTAGAACTCGATATTTACCTGTGGAAGGAAACCGAATGGTAGGTACCTATTACTTGAGTAGGTACTTCACACCTCACCGTAGTAGTTGACATGTTCGAGAAAAATCGATAGCGAGACATTTATACAAACGTGTCGTGTTCATGGCATGTTCCGTTGCCCGCTAGGCTGTAGCTTGCAGAGTTTATTCAACTTGATCCCTGGAGTGAAAAGCCCGACTCGCTCGTTCGCTGTTTGAAGTGGAAACAACCGCAGAACACGCGGATAATTTGAAAAGTTCACAATCACCTGCACAGACCGCGGCTTCAGCACAATTTCCTGTCGAATTAATGGTCTGTCAATATTGTAGTCCTCCATTACAGCTTGTTGTGCAAACAAGCAATAAAACTAGCAGCGCCATCTCGCGGTGGGTTTACGAGACCGCGGCGCCGGGCGGGTCAGCACAGACACTACCCCCAGACTCGCGTCACTGAATTAATTGTCTAAAAATACAATTTAACCTTACAAGGTATTTTAGGAGTTGATTGATATATTTTATCACGCATGAGACGCAGATATAATAAGAAAATCGTCGACATGTGGCGACACCTCCACACACGTTTGACGTGGGTAGAATTGATTCTTCTTGGAAACTCAGGTACCTACGTATTCGCGGGAGCAGACGTTTAGTAACTAGCACTAGCTTACGTAATTTATTGAACCTAATGTAGCTAGCGGTGTCTTTGTATCAACTAAGTAATCGAAGACTCGTAGCTACCCACGGTAAAACAAGTGCTCAGGGATTAATCTGTAAAAGGTGATTTGTTGATGTTTACTACCTCAAACCCATCGACTCCTTTTAAATAATTGTTATGGTCTCTCATTCCTACATTACATGTAAGTAGGTAGCTAGCTTGTAGGTACATATTACAAAAACTGATGTTAACCGCAGTGTAAAGTAATCGCTTTAACACAACAGCACTTAGTAAATGCAATGGATACAATGAAACGTAAACAAACGTCGTTATGTTTTAGACGTCCGATAACGATAGAGTTATTACATGGAAATAACGGTATTGTTTTCGCAATGTCGCTGACAGGAAAGTGACAGGCGCATTTCGCCAACCGCCGCATGGGGCGCTGTCATCGCCACTCAGCTCAACACTAGGAATACATAATAATATTATTGAAATCCATACTACATAAAGCTTATTGTTAAAATGTTTGGAAAAATATTGTATTATTTGCAATGAAGCGATGGAGCAATAAATATCCCTGCGATGCAGTGAGTTTGAACAAAATAAAGGAACTTGATATTCGTCTACTTTTTAATTGACGCGGCGACGTCGACGACAAATAAGTTTTTGCTTAAATTATTCATATACTTCTCAGTGCTTTAATATTTTACATACAATGCACTTCTGGTAGCTTTTAAGTGTGTTGTGTCCACACATCATCGACTTCAAAAATGCTTGTAATATCTTAATTTCACTTAAGAGTCGATTACATTTTCAAGCGTCAGCGGTTTCATACACTTAGATCATTTAGTAACGGATACGGATACAAGAGTATTTAGTTATGTAGATACCGCGCAATATTGCCAATTTACAAAAGTAAATAAGTACCAACATCGTGACTTTAAAAAGTTTTAACACTATAAATTCATCATAAAGTTTAGTTTCACTTAGCCAAATGTTAATCAAGCTTGAGCGGGTGCACGTTCGTAAGTCCCCATAACAGTTGTTTTTCTCCATAACTTTTATGGAAAACTGTTATTTTAGTACCGATTATATAGATGAGAATGACGAGCCATTATTAATTGTAGTGACGTAGCCAGTGGCCCGCCCCTTCCCCGGCCTCCTCGCCCCTCACCCCCTCGCCTCGCCCCTCAGACACCCCGTGGCCACGCGAACTAGGTCGACATTTCAATATTGAAGGCATTTCACAATTTCTATTGCTCTTTATTGCGACTGTACGACGTCATAAAGAGCTTATTAAGCGTATATTGAATGTAGTAAACCGACAAGGAATCTTAGGATCATTTTATTAAAATTATTCTAACAAGTTAAATAAGACTAAATAATCTGGAACTGTCTACCTGAATTATACATAACAACTGATATTGTTTCATGATTAGTAGCTGAACTACGAATAATTAAAAAGAAAAATTGTTTTTATGCATTAAAATTCATTTAAGCATGAATATTCAGTGGCGTGCACAGGTTTTCGAGACAGGGTAGGCAACTAAATATCGTATGATTAAACCCCTCTCCCCCGCCGGTCATACAATCATGCTCACACAAGATAGGTACATGTACATAATATATTTTGAAAAGTGCGTTCAAGAATATTGTGGTGTATTGTTTCGCCAAATTACATACTCTGACATCTCGCGTATTTTTTGTGAAGTACTTCATCAGCTATTGAATAAGCCAACAAAACTTACAAATAAAGAAAGATCTATTATTTATTTTAATAATGAAGCATAAATTTGATGAACCAAATTTCATTATGGAATTGTTAAGGTTAATCAATCTGGTCAAAATCATAATATATTACGAATTTAAGAGCGTAGGTACCTACATTATGTCAACAAACAAAACAATAACAAGCGCGGCCGGCTGTGGCCGAGCCGGCCGAGTCTATGCGGTACATTTGTTATTACTACATTACATAAATATTAATAATAAATTAATATGTGAATCAGTACAACCCGAAGTCTAAGTTGATATTTTTAAGAATTATCAAACAATAAACAAGAAAATCAAATAAAAGATCCATTATAGTACATATTTACATTACCTACCTTTTACTTGGGTCAATTCTCGTAACTCGAGTACACCTCTGCCTATGGTCATTACCTGAATCTAGTCCGATAAAGGACATTGCGAAATCTTACTGTTTTTACTTTCAACAAACACATAAAATTACCTATTATTCACACACACTTCACAATCGAATAATATAGGTACTTGTACTAGAAACTGAGAAACAAATACACTATTTGAAAAACCTACACATATATTTAACTACTACTACACATTTATGCAACTTTATGTTTAAAACTAATTCCTAATAATTTAAACGAAAACATAAACAAAGCGATCGCACATCACATGAAAACAATATGGCCGAAAACATTGGAAATGAATTGAAGTCATTACCAATAGTCAATTGAGTGTTTATTATAAAAAAAATGTAGCTTAAAAATTAAGGTAACGCAGCGTTTAATTTCAAAAAAACAAACGTTAATTTAGTAAGTCAAATGAAATTGCATCATCGTCTTAAACCAATATTTCATACTAAAAAACATTCATTCATATAATTTGAAACGTTGTTAATGGCGCCATCTTGACGTATCAATAACTTCCTTTTAACTTTTATAATAATAAAGTCAACTCCTCGTTT